CCGTGCCAGGCACGGCCGGGGCGAGGCGGGCTCCTCTGCCCGGGCTGGCAGGCTCCCGGAGCTGCCCTGGGCTCGCGTCGGGAACGGCCATCCACGCGGAGCCCTGAGAAATAAGGAAATGCAGCGCTACCCAGAGGGTTTCCGCGTCAGGCGGGCGCGGGAGGGAAGAAGGAATCTGGAAGGGGAGAATCGTGTTTTCTTCCCTTGCAACAAGCTCTGCCCTCGGGCAAAGCGTCTGCCCCCCAGCCCCCAGGTAGACCTTGCAGTTGAGCCAGGGGGAGAAGAATAAACCACGAAGCGCCTTTTCTGAAAAGAAATGTATAAGATACATACTGCTAACTCCTTTCACTTTTATTTTTCCTGTAGTTTGTTGCTCAGAGTGAATCTGAAACACACTATAAAGAGGGAGTTAAGAGTTCAAACCCGGACTGTCTCCTAAAAAAGTTCATATCCTTTTTCACAGCAATTTTTGCTGCTTTTTCCAAAGCCGAGTTGGTATAAATCAGTGGTGATGTTCCTGCCGATAAAGGCGGTCACGGTGGAACTTTTGCTGGGGAAAAAAAACTTCGGAGATGAATTTTGGAATGATCCAATGACCAAGTAAATCATTTTTGGCAGGCTTCCTTTTTAGCTTGACCAGATTAAGGCGAGGAGCTAAAGACCTGTGCGCCTGCGTAGACTACTAGTCTTCCCACTTCACAACTCACAGCCATGCTACAAAGCCAACTCTTACGTGTATCCTAGTGAAAATGTAAACCGTTGCTTGCTTCTCATGAACACTATTCAAAATGCTGAGCCCAGGAGAGATGGGCAGAGCACGTACAATATTCACATTGCTGGTGGCTCTCGCGTGATGCTCCATTTACTTTAGCTGAAACCAGGCTTTGATCTCAGGCATGGGCTCCATAGGTGCAATATATATTGTCTGTGTTTCAGGGATGTATTTGGTTATCTGTGTTGGTCTGAGACCAAAAGAAATGCAAAACTCCAGAACTCTTGATGATGAGAACAGAGATGATCCCTTTTATTAGATGGACTAAGAAATCACAATATGTATCTCTCTCTCTCTCTCTCTCTCTGTTGTTGTTGCCATTTCTTAGTTGGGCTCATAAAAGGTATTATCTCTGAACCAAGAGTTTTGGAGGTCTGCATTTCAGATATATTGTCCTGAAGAAACATATGTGGTTTTCCACGACCCTGGGAGGACGCAGCAACATGAGTTTCAGCAGAGCCGATCAACAGCCCGGTGCTCCTGGGTCCCCAGCGGGCTTGTGCCACGAGACCAAGCGCGTGCACAAGAAAGCCCAGGCTGTTTCATGCTCACTGCTGTTGTTACCTGTACTAGCTAGACAAAAAAGCTAGCTCAGGTATATGTTGGTACATGCTACGCCTTCGTTCTGCTGTGCGGACTTACCCGCGCGTGCGAGTCCTCCATTGGAAATGGGAGTAGTTGTTGCTTCACATGAGTGCAGCGGGGATAGGTCTGAGCTAGTGATGTGATCAGAGATTTTGATGACAGGTAAGTGTGTGGGACAGGAACTTCCATTTATGCTGCAATCACCAAGGAGGCAACTTTACGCAGATAGTAGTAGAAGCGCTCCTCATTATAGTATTGGAGCATCTCAGCCACTGGCAGAATTTACCTTCCCAGCACTCAGAGGTAGGAAAGGGCTATCCTTCATTTTTGTGGCTAGAGAACTGGGGAACAAGGGTGAGCAAACTGATCACAGAGGAAGCTTGCAGCTAGCCTGGGAACTGCACTTGCATCTCTGGAGGATTAGACTCATGCCCTGCCCACATCATGATGTCTCCTAGGTGGAGGAGTAGGTACAGCCTCGTTCCCTGGAAGTGCTCTGCAAACAAAGATCAGTTCTCCCGTGTCTGGGGGGCAAGCATGGTGGCTGTGTTTAGGAGAGGAGCTGAAGCACCACCCCCAATCCTGTTCGAAAGCGTGGGGAGAAATGAAGTGGGTAATGTAGTTATCCAAGAATGACTTCTGTTTGGTACACCTGATAAAATCTCGTACCGTGCTGCCCTGGTAGAAAATGAAAGGGAATCGTTAACCATCACCTGTGGTTAGCACTTCAGCTTTATGCCTTGGCGTCAAAGTGATACTTCCAGGAACACAAAGCTCTTTGAATCGTCGTGTTGGGGAGCTGGTTGCAGTTTTGACGCAGAAGGATGAGCACCCTGACTTGAGTCATCAACACAACTTCCTGCAATGGGCTTTCCCTCAGTGCTGCCGTCAAACTACGAATCAGACTGGAACTTCTTGTAAATGGATAATGCTACTATTTGTGCTTTGCTCCAAACGCGTGCCCTTGACAGGCAGCCATCGGCTGCACATGTGGAGATGTCTCGGTAGCAAAGCGAAGGTGTGATTGTAGCCTGGGTAGGCATCCCTGGGTGAATGTATCCGGGATCCATAGTAAGCTGATGGTCTGGTTGCTAACTCAGGTCACTTCATATTTACCAGTGCTGTTACGCAGACTATGAAGATCAACGCTAGCACTGCTGTGGCTACCTGTGATACAATCACACTGTCATTTTGCTTCGCAAACCTACACTGCAGGACTGGTTCTTATTTGCCATTTTGATCTGTTTCCCCAGGGTGAAGTGATGGTTGATCCTTCTTCAAGCCCGGTACCAGCAGCTAATATGCCACTGCAATCACAGCCCAAATGTGTGACCTCGCTGCAGCCCATCACGGAGGGAGAAATCTTCAAGTTGCCAGGCAGGCTCAGTGAGTAGATGGTGCAATGCTGACAGCCTTGCAGATTTTCTTGTGCTTAGGTGGTACTTTATACCTCTTCAAAGCAGTGTGCATATGCTTCTTCCTTGGATTTCTTGGGCATATTTTAACAAACCACTTCCTGTCCTTGCCTTGGCAGGACACTGACAGTGCCCTCGTCCCACGGCTTTACCTTGAGCAAGCCGAAGTGTGTTGATGTTTAGGGCATTATGCCTGGAAGGTGTGCACGAGGGTTGTTTGTGCGATTCTGAGAACATGTTGGACTAACACTTGCTTAGGATGGTTTAGACAGGAATGATCCTACGTGGAGCAGGACGCTGGAGTAGATGTGACCTGAGGTTGCTTTCAGCCTTACTTTTCTACGATTCTAACAGCCAACTTGGTGCACATTGTTCAGTGCTGTACTGTAGGCCTCTGCCACTTGCACTAAAGGAGTAATTCCAGCAACAGATAGTAGTACTAGGCTGTTCCCCTTTAGCTGACTAGTCCACAGCAAGGGGAACGAACCACATTATCCTTGCATGCGTTGCACAAACATGAATGGGCTGATTAATTTTCTCAGCACAGCTTAGAAGTGGGTCAGTACTGATCAATACCGTATCTTCATTTTACTGATTAGAAAAGCACCTTTCTCAAGGCTACAGAAGGCATCAGTTTAACATATAAGGTTAATGCGCAGGGGTTTCTGAGTTTGTTTTAGGAGCTCTTTCAATTGAAGCATTTCTTTGCTCCAAGGCTTTTTGGTATCCTGGTTCTGAAGTCATGTCCCAGGAAATTTCTAACTGCATAGAGGAGAAGCTGTCTGCTCCAGCTGATTAGGAGACAGGACTGCTCCTGGCACTAAGTAGCAGTTTGCTCCTAGAGCAAAGCACTTCTTTTTAGTCGGTAGGTTTGATGGCTACCACTTTAGCCAAGATTGGGGCTTGAATCAGGGCTTTTAGAACTGAATTCATGAACCCGAGCTCTCATCCGGTGTCTGCTGGGCCCAGATGGGAGCACAGATGTAGCTATATGATGATGAAAAAGAAGGTGGTGGCACTGTTGTGCCTGTTAACACAAATATCCATGGGTTAAAAAAACCCCAACCCTTGGAGTTTATATAAAGAGATTTTCAAGCCTAAGCTTGTGATAGTATATTAATTAGCCAGAAAAAGGATGATACATTTGACAGCTGGTTGGATTTGTGGATTATTTCATGTTTTACAAGAAAAAATAATGTCATTTAATATGGAGTTAATGCTACTGACAGATGCTTTCAAATTTTTTTTTCAATCCATGCATTGCTGAGAATATATTATAGACAAGTGCATGTGCCAGTGTCTGTGGCAGGTTGTGATGCAGGACTTCTGGACTCTAACTGTTTCTGGGGAAGGTTGTGGTCTAGTGGTTGTACTGGGCAGCAATGAGTCAGGAGTCACTGGGTTTATTCTTAGCTGTGGGAGGGAGTGTAGTCTGGTGACGAGAATCGGGGACTAGTTAGGGGTCTTCTGCTGTTTTCCCAGATCTGTCTTTGATATGTCTGTAGCCTTGGACAAATCATTTCACGTCCCCACCTTTACATATGGCTAATCCTACTTTCTTGCCTCACAGGAGCGTGAAGATTCAGCGATGGCTGTCGGAGGCTTTGGGATTAGTTAGTACTAATTATGACCAACGGCTGGGATTTTCAGACAGGTGTAAAAGAATTAGGCATGCGGCTGCCGTTGAGACTGGGCACCTCATTTCCTTAGACTGCATGGGCAATCCCAGCCAGAGGCATGAGAACAAGCCACTGGACGATACCACAGACCAGTATTTCTTCTGTTTATTTTCTCATTGCCCTTTGACTCACTTTAATGATCAGTCTGGTCTTTTAGAAGGAAAATGTGCTGATGGAGAAGGCTGGTGTCTCCTCTTGTCCCCTTTTATTTCAAAGATTGTTCTCTGCTGGTTTCAGGAATCCAGCCCTCGCTCTGGAGCAAAGATGATGTGATCCATTGGTTAAGGTGGGCCGAGAAAGAATATTCCCTCCGGCCAACAGATGAAAGCAAGTTTGAAATGAATGGAAAAGCCCTCTGCATTCTCACCAAGGATGATTTCAGATACAGGGCTCCTAGCTCAGGTTAGAGGAAACGAATGAGAGATTTAATAGCCTGGCTCCCCTGTGCTGTGCCGTGTGTCCAGTGGGCTATGATTCAAGGGGCTTGGGTGTAGCTCTGTCAGGGACTTGCTAAATTACCCAAGTCAATCACTTCCCCTCCCACCTGTCCCAGTGACAGCCCTGTTTGGCTGATACTATATGACTGCGTCCACACTAACGGTTTCTGCCAACATGGCTGTGCGTCTTTCCAAGAGCTCTACCGGCAGAAATCTGCAAAGTAGACATGGACTAAAAGAGCAAGACAGGTGAGGGCAGAATAATTATCACCTCCCTTATGCATGGAGCCAATGTAGACTCTTTGGAGCAGTGATAACCTCTGGGCCCATGCAATCTAGCATTATTGAGTTTCATCTGGAGCATCCTGATGCTAGAGGAAGACGGGTAATAGTATCAGTAGGCATCAAGATCCTGCCACAGGGAGAAGGGGTGATGGTGCTGGGAGCATTCCCGTGGCTCCCTTCCCAACTCAGTGTTCATTCAAGCCAGGCAGGATTGTAGAAATTGCCAAACTAGATCAGGCACACAGTGCATTCAGTCAGTCTCCTGCCTAGGGCAGCATCCAGCACTACCGCTTCTGGGGGAAGGAGTCAGATTCCTGCAGTGGGGAGTTATGGGATAGCCTGCCTGCAGACGGAGGTCTATCCTAACCCCGGTCAACTTAAATGACCAGCTGTCCCAGGTCTTGTGGCCTTGTGTCTCGACATTCTCTTTGAAAAGGAGCATTTGTCTTCAGTTTGAGGAATCAGTCCCAGATCAGCTCCAGCCTATAGTACCACCTCCAAACCAGAGCAGTGTCTGCATTTATTAGCTCTGCCTCCCGGCACAGCTGATTTTCTTGGATGCAATGCCACACTGAAACAGCTGTGTGAAGTGCAACTATAAGGGTGCAGATAACTTCTGGTTCTGGAGGTCTACGAAGTGTCTAGGGCCGTGTCCTGGATTTGCTTCCACAAGGTTGGTCTTTTGGTTTAGCTCACACCCCAGTGCAAGAGGGCTTCCCATCCAATACACATCTGTATGAGTGTCCACTCCTGTTCTGGATCTCATCCCATGCTCTATTACACATATAACCATATTTCCCTGCAGTTTCAGTCAGGTTCAAGAAGCCCCTTCATTCCCAGGGCTAAAGGAATATTGGAAAGTGGACACACACTCTTAGAAACAGCCGTTGTGTTCCACCCCAGAGGTGGTTGCAGTTTCAGGGGTGTGATTTGTGCCTGGACTTGTTAGAGGTTTGAAGTTCGTTGGGATGCAAGGTGCTGGGCATGAAATAAATAGATCAATGGGGGAGATAAGCTGGGATTATGTTGCAGCAAGTGGAAAAACCTCCTTCATTTGAAAGTTGTAGCTCCTTTCTTATTGTTCACTTTACAATAGCACCTCATAGGTAGCACCAAAGTTGAGCGACATTTTGTTTGGTCCCTGAACCTGCATGTAGTCAGATACCAGGTTATCCTCTTCAACTGGGGCTCTTTCACAAAAGTCTTGCTTCTAAACTAGGATTGGGCAGCAGTTCCCCCATGGTTTTGGATAACACAAGGCTGAAGGACTGTTGTCAGCTTCCCTTGGGTAGTCCATTGAGTGGGTCTCCTCTTTCTTTGGGCTGTGGTGACTGAGAACATGGCCAGACCTCAGTCCAGGGGTGCTCATTTTCTTTCTCCCTGCACAGGCGACGTTTTATACGAGTTACTCCAGTACATCAAAATCCAGCGGCGAGCCCTTGTGTGCAGCCCATTGTTTAATTCACCCTTTCAGGATGCAAAACACATGGATATGCACAGCACTGTGGGAGGTATGATGCCCATTTATAAGCATTGAATGGGTAGGTGAGGTTTGGAAACCAACCCAGGAGACGTCTCACTGGCCCATTTATGTTTAAGGTGATCACGCCTCATGTTCTGGGCACCAGACTTAAATATCTGGGGACAGCCTCAGGCTCTCCTCTCTCCCTGGTCTGCGCTGCTGATCTGACACTCCTTTCCCTCTCTCCCCTAGTGACCCATCCATGTGTCCTCTCCCAGTTAGTAGCTCCGTAATGTCCCTCATTGCTCCTACAGTTCCCTCTGCTGTTCCATCCCAAAGAGTTCCCCTTCCCTGGGAAAACCCAGTGGTCTTGATCCTCTACTCACACCCACTAGAATCAGTGCGGTTATGCTGGCATCAGTGACAAGAGGATCAAGTGCATTCATCGTCTTCCTGGAGCCGACACTGGATATAGCAAGGGTGGGCAAAATGTGGCCCGGGGGCCGGATGCGGCCCGCCAGGCCATTCTGTCCCGCCCGCTGGGCCCCTAAAAAATGTAGAAAACTAATATTTATCTGCCCCTGGCTGCCTGTCATGCAGCCCTTGATCGCTTGCCAAAACTCAGTAAGCGGCCCTCCGCTCAAAATAATTGCCCGCTCCTGGGATATAGGCTTTACCCAATAAACCCATCCTGGTTTGTCTGTTCTCTCTCTGTTGCTTAAACATGGATTAAAAAAAATGTAGAGGGCCTTTTTTGGAAATAACGTTGCCTTGGGCTTCCTTGCAGGTATGAACTGCAGGTTAGAAGCCTCCCCAGGAAGGGTCTCTTCATTGCTAACGACATGTCCAAGCCACAGAGAACAGCCCAGGTCTCCCAGAAAGGCCTTCTTCAGAGAGGAGCCACTTAATCTCTCTCATCATGGCTCAGAAGTCAGCTGTAGGCCAGAGGTCATCTGTTCTTTTCCTGCTCCCCCACCAGCCCCAGTTGATGGTAAAATTGCAGGTGAGCACGAAGTCCTATGGTGTGGAAAGCAGCTCTGCCTGAGAAATGAAACTCCTGTGGGGGTGGAGGTAAACATGGGGGTACCGGCTAGAGATGTCAGTGGAAACTTGACATCTGTTCATTGAAAACTCCTTGGTGAGTCTGGTTCTACATCCACCTGTCGAAGTCCGCCATGCATGGAGAGCAGCCATGGAGGACTTTCTTGAAGACTCCATCGTATTTCCCCAACACAGAGATGGGCCCTGTTAGGACTCTTTGCCCCCGAAGCACAGCATTTTCAATAGAAAAGAACTTTTATTTTACACCAAGGAAAGCAACAAGGAAGACCCAAAGTAAGATCTCTGGAAGACAGCACAATGCATATGTCTGTGATGTGCTGCAGTGCTCTGCAGAGGGAAATGGCAGCTGTCTGAACTTCTGGGGGTTACAGTTGACCCCTGGACCTCTGATTTTGAAAGCATTAGCCTCTACCATGTGAGCTAAAGTCTGGTTCTGCTGGCTATGTTGGCAAGCTCATCAGCCTTTTCCCAGATCAGGACAGAGCACTCCGTTGAGCAGCTGTGTGTTATACACTCCCTCTGGCCAAGCATACATGTTTCAGGCTTCAAAAGTTCAGTGTGGGTGCCTCCGTGCCTTAGTTTCCCCATTGCAAGTTAGGGATATAGATATTGATACCCTTTCTAAAGCACGCTGAGATCTACTGATTTAATGGTAAGAGGTCGGTATTATTGTTACTAACACACACAGCCTGCTGCTTGGCTGTGGTTTGTGGGGACACATTCTGATGAAAGCTGAATGCCTTTCTCTGTGTTCCTGTGCAGACTGCAGGTTACTCTGGGACTATGTCTATCAGCTGCTGTCTGACAGCCGGTACGAACCATACATCAAATGGGAAGATAAGGAAGCCAAGGTCTTTCGGGTTGTCGATCCTAACGGACTTGCCAGGCTCTGGGGGAACCATAAGGTATGTCTGGGTCAGCATGGCTTTGTCATCCCTTGACTCGTGGGAGCCCATGTTCTTAACTGGGCAGCACAATGCTCTCTTTATGGTGTATTCTGTGACCAGCTTTGAACTGAAATAAATGGGAGCTGAAGGGATTCAGCCCCTGGTGAAATCAGTCCGTAAATTCTTCCTTGCTAAAAGGAATTGGAAAGTATGCCTATATTAAAGAGAGCCCCAAAATAATGGGGCGAGTGCAGACATTCCAGCAGTACCAAATAGAAACTACTGCACTATAACCTCTCTAGGCCAGGGATTGTCTTTTTCTCCTGTGTCCACAGTCCCTGGCTTGGTCTGTGGCTAGGGCTCCCAGGTACTAGAATGACAATGATGATGAAGAACAGTGCTAAGTCTACCAATGTCTTGGTGGACTGTAAAGCTTTCCTTAAAAACTGTCCCACAAAAATTGTTTCTAAAAGCTCTGAGCATTCACAAGGACCTGTTAACTGCATGTGCCTCTAGGTTTTTGATGCAAGCTGGGTTATGTTATGTTGTCCATCATCCTTCTCTTTGGTGTAACTGGTAAGCCTGGCTTCTGATTGGCTGGTTTCATTGGCACTCTCCTGTTCAGGACATCCAGTATCTCTGCGTGATACTGTTTAAAGGTTCACGTCATAGCTCAAGACCAACTTGACTGAGCATGCTTTAAGAAGGCCTTTGTCTTTTATCTTCACAGAACCGCATGAACATGACATATGAAAAAATGTCGAGAGCCTTAAGGCATTATTACAAACTCAACATCATCAAAAAGGAACCAGGCCAAAAGCTGTTATTCAGGTGAGAGAACTCAGGTGGCACAAATGACCTCACAAGGGAGATTTGGCCAGGACAGAGGAAAGTTAGTATCAGCTTCCAGACGTTCTGCACCTTGTCCTGAGCTTCACCTCATTACTTCTGAAACCTCCTCAGACGTGCAGAATAAAACGATGGTCTTGGTTATACTGTCTTGTGTCTGAATTAGCTCTGCTGGAGCAGATGGAATTGGGCTGGATTTATACTGCTGCAACTGAGATCCAGTAGTATAAGTAGGGGTGGGCAAACGAGGTGTCAGCCCCACATTGCAGACTTAGAGGGGACACAAGATTGATGGCTGTTGCTGCCACTGGACTTAGGGTACAAAAACAGAGGCTTAGACTGATCTCTGCTGAGCTCAGAACCCAGTTCGCAGGCCTGACTTCAGGTCTTATGCACATCTGAATTCCAGTGAAGTCCAATGCATGTATCTGAAAGCAGAAGTCAGTAGTCAGCATGACGTTGGGGTTTGCAAACCCAACACGATGGCAGTTGTTTTATTTATCTATTTTCCTGCAAAGACAAAACCTGGGCTGGGTTCAACTGAGGGTCTGTTTTGTACAAATTGCAAAAGCCTCCAGGTTTTGGATAAGTGGTTCAGGTTTTGATCCCTATAGAGCCCAGTCCCATGGGCTCAGCCCTGCAAAAAACTACCATCCCTTTGAAACAACAAAAGCAATGAGCCCCATGCAAATACAAGCAAGGTGTAAAGCAGGGGTGAGCAATTATTTTGGGCGGAGATCCGCATACTGAGTTTTGGCAAGCCATCGAGGGCTGCATGACAGGCAGCCAGGGGCAGATAAATATTAATTTTCTAAATATTTTAGGGGCCCTGCAGGTTGGACAGAATGGCCTGGCGGGTCACATCTGGCCCGCAGGCCGCATTTTGCCCACCCGTGGTGTGAAGTGTTGAGTATCTTCTGGGAGGAGCTCAACTTTGTACAGCTTCTTCCAAAACCCACTGAAATCAATGGAAAGACTACATTGGGCTTCGGGACAGGTCCCTACCTGGCCTCACTCATTCTGTGGCATGTTCTTTTTTTTTTTTATTTCCAGATTTTTGAAAACACCTGGGGAGATAATACATGAGAAATCCAGCAAGCTGGAACAGCTGGAAAGTGAGGAACAGGAGGGACTGGATTTCAAGGAGGATGTGGTGGAGGTATCGCCCTAAGGACTCTATTGCACCGTGTCTACAATGTGGAAACACGCAGCGTCAGAGAGATGCTGTGAGTCACTGTGAAGAACCTGGGATGCTCTGCTGTCTTGGGAAGAAGAGACTGCCTTTCTCTCACTGGGTTGCAGTTAAAGGCTTCAAACATTTTCTGTTCAAAGACTAAAACGTGGAACTTTGGCAGCAAGAGTTTATTCCCAGAAACTTGTGCAGGCCGTTGAAACTGAGATGAATCTGCGGGCTGGCCTTTTGCTTGATAACGTTTTCCCATAGGTTATTTTGTGTATTTGTCTGTTTTTTAAAATGATCACATTTGGTACTTTATGGCTGAGGCTCTGTCGTTGAGTTTCAAGATGGTTGGTAACCGTGACCCTAATTCAGGACAGCACGGCTCTTAAGCACCTGCTTAACTCTGCTCTTACGCTTCAAGTTAAGCAAACTCTTCCATACCTTGCTAAATCAGTCACAGCTTATGTGAAGATTTTTGTGTGGTTTCAGGGCGGAGGGGTTCTTTAAGCTGAATATTGCCAATTAATTTCACTGTGTATGGAGCAATAATAATACTGGTTATGCTTAGCTGAATATGAAGACATGTGACAAAAACAAAATACCAAAGTGAGTTGTGATAGAGTGAAGGACTCCAGGTCTTCCAGTTATTTACACAGGGGATGACAGAAGATGAGGCCCCTGCCTCACGAGACCAAATGATTGATTAACATCCTTAGCTGATGTAAACTCTGCTCAGGTCAATTAAGCTATACTGACTCATACCAGCAGAGGCTCTGGCCAGTAGAAACCTTCCCCTTGGGGTTCGACTACGAAGATACAACATTCCCAGTGGGCTGAATTCATACTAAATGAGCAGTGGAAATAACCAGCCTTATTCTCCTTTCATGCAATTCAGCCCTGTGCAGAGGATTGAAAGCTTAGTGGGTGCATATACTGGCTCTCTTCCACTGCTGTAAATGGTGGATAACTGAGGTTTCACCAAAGCAAGTGAGGGAAGAATCAGGTTCATTAACCACAGGGGATTCAGAGCTGGGTGATCCGACTCCATTGTCCAAGGTAAGCGAAATGCAACTAAACTAAACAACAGCAGAGTTCAGTTTAGGTTTTGCAAGTTCATTTTCTCATTTAAATAACCTCAGGGGTTGTTCAGAAAATAATCTAGTAAATGCACATTCAGGTTTTTAAATTGACAGTATCCCATTTTTGCCTAACAACATTTTCAGATCCCCTGCAGTCGTTCTGACTTGCTCATAGTCCATGCGTTGCTGGCGAAAGGGGTAAGATGGTCACAACTCGTGCCTTCTCAGTTTAGTGGTAGAATAGGAACAATTGCAGGCTTTTCTGTACTTCATCCTGGCTTGGGAGAGTGTGCTGTGGGCAGTCAGAAATAGGCCATCACCTACAAAAGTTTATACCCCTCTGACCCAGTTTCTAAGGTGTCACGCTGCCCTGCCTTCTTCCAGCTTACTCATCCTGCTTGCTTCAAGGTCATTAGGATTTCAATGGGAACAAGATTATGCCTAAATAATATATTCTTGAGGCTATTCTCATTTTAGGAGAGGAAACCTTGTCTACTGGTTAAAGCAAAGAAGTGCAAAGTCAGGAGGTGTGCGTGCACAATTGCTCTACTGTGATGGAGACAGATTACAACCATTGTGTGGCTTCATGTATAACCCACCACAGAGCCTACCTGTTCTTTAGTCTTGCCCCTCTAGTCTTTGCTAGTGTGTGTGGAGGACCAGGACTGGGTGACCACTCCCCAGTTGCCAGTTCTGTGCCTTTGAGCAAGTCGCTACCACTGAGCCTCAGCTTTTTCATGTGTGAATTGGACACACTGGGCACGTCTACATGTTCATTAATGTGGAGTAACTGCTGCGCATTAAATTTAGTACTTGCAAAAAGAAGTACAAAAATGTGCAGTAGGCTGTCCTACTCGCATTAGTGCAATTGCATGCTTTTTTGTGATGATTAATGCACAGTAGACTGTGCGTAGCCTAATAGCATGGTTTTTGCCTGATGCTGTAATGCTTAGTTAATCAGCCTACTGCGTGTTAAGCGTCTCTTGTAGACACACCCAAAGCCATCTTTCTACAGGGGTATAGTGAAAGTCCTGCAAACATTAGGCCTAAGAATAGCTATGCCTATAAGCCAGTGATTCTCAACCAGGTTTCGGCAATACCATGGGTTGCACTGAGATCCTTTCAAGGGTGAAATGTTAGCGCTGTTAGGTGTGCAAACATGTTTCACAAGACAAACCCAGGGATTTCAAATAGGAATATGTGGTGTTCAGTGATTGTAAGGCCAGAAGGGACCTTGGAAGATCATCAGGTCCAGCCCCTTGGACTAAGCAGGAAAATGTTAATGTTAAAAACGTCCTGACTTGTTCTGGTCTGTCTGAGTTCTTTGCACCAGAAGAGTTAGTTGCTCTAGTATTTATTTCTGTAATCAAAAATGGAGTGAAAACTAAGAGCTGGCATTTTTCAAGGGGCACCCTGAATTTACTGCGGAGTGCCTTGAGTCTAACAACATTGAGGTACGCTGCTATAAATGCTCCCAGTTAATTCAAAGTGCCAGCAAATTCTTTTGATTGATTTAGCTGAGGATCTGACCTTGGAAAGTTATTTGTGCGCATAAATGTTCTCAGGATTGGGGCCTACCCCATTAGCAGTCAAATGCATGCGTGCTCAAATTTCCAGTGCTAAATTTAGGCACACTTACCACCAAAGACTGTCCCTCTTATAGCTCCAAAGTGTTCAGAGACTCTCTAGATTGGGAAGTCCTAGAAAAACTGCAAAACTATTTTTGTCAACCTCTGCAAGAAACCACAAAGCTTCCAAGAATGAGGAATAAGCATTCACAGGGTGCATCTGTTTGCAAGACTGGACCATAACAACCACACACCACCAAGAGGGGAGGGTGTTTTTCTAACCACTGGAAGTCTACAGGACAGATTTACTATGATCATTTAACCTTTTTTTTTTTTGTATCATACTTTGATGTAGT